AGGTGGCTTTACTCCATATTATTGATCATCCTTATGTAGGAAAAAATCTTCAAGCTCAAAGTTTCACTAGAGAACGGAAGCAGACAGCAGATATTAGCCCGAGCATATTTGAAGAAAGCTTCCAAGCATATGAAGAAATGGGCAGACAAGAAGTGTCGCCACCCTCCAATTTCGAGCAGGAGACCAAGTCTTCATCAAATTGAGACTAGAACAGATCAGATTCCTCAGTCAAAAGGACCATCAACTAGTTCAAAAATATGAAGGCTCAGTTGAAGTTCTTAAAAAGATCGGGGCTACTTCCTATAGAGTTGCACTACCTGCATGGATGAAAATCCACCCTGTAATTCATGTGAGCAACTTGAAGCCCTATCACTCTAACCCAGACGACGACCATCAAAGTGTAATCACGAGACCGAGCATTGATCTAAAACAAAGAGACACCAAAGAAGTAGAGGAGATCCTAGCCGACAGAGTTAGGAAGATAGGAAGATCCGTACGGATTCACGAATTCCTTGTCAAATGGAAGAATCTCCCTACGGAAGAAACCAGCTGGGAACGCGCCGAAGATCTAGACTCCGCCGCCACCCACATCGCCAGGTTTGAAAGTAGTTGGTTGACAGAGACGTCAACCAATTAGGTGGGGGAGGATGTCATGATCATACTCATCCAAGGCGTGTTGCCCATGGCCGCATGCCCATGACAAATCAAACCCTTTATGTCTTTCCATGTTCTAATGTTTTCCTTTTGTATTTCTAGGGAGCATGACGTTTCGGAAAAATCATATCTAGGCCTGTCAGACATGAAATGCTTCATAATGTACTATAGTGGGATATGACTAGTTGTCAACCTCTCCCTATCCAAGGTTATATATTGTAAGCCGTTGTTGTTACTCTCTTGCTTGCTTATATATCGTCTCTTTAAAAAATCTCTCTATACCCTCTAAAACCTTCTCTTAAACCGAGGCCAGAGGCTCGAGCATACGTCTCTTGACCGTAGGCAACGCAAAAACAAATTGGCTTAGTTCACTTGTCGTTGGAAAGTGAGTGTTGCACAATCGCAAGTTCGTTGCCATTAAGAGTGCGATTGTGACACCCAGAACCCACACTGCGACCCAACAATCGATACTTGACCCGTGCCTTGACCCAATTTAGCCTACACACGCATCAGTGCCATATTGCGCCACGCGTCAACTTTCAGCAAAAAGAACTCCTCGACTTCATAGCTCAGCTTGGCTTTGAGTTGTCCTTAAGACTTAAAACGCTCAATTTGGCAATTCTGACACCGACCCCAATGTTTTTTACCCTCTCGGAGCTGATTTGACCATAATTAAGATAAATAAGGGCAATATGATGCACTATTTCATGAATTCAAGTTAAACTACATTATAAATGTGAAATGTTAATGAAATGAAATGAACGCTATAATAGGAAACGACAACTGGTAATGTTTGGAGCAACTTTGAGGAACGAAAGCTTAACGAATCCGAAAGTAGACAAACGCCGGCTAAGGCCAACCAAGTAATTAGCCTTACTATAGGATAGACGAGGCAATTGTTTGATGTATGACGACACGTGCCAAGTTGAACTGGCACGTGTCCTTTATGCTTTATTAATATGATGTACGACATATGATGTATGATGATGTGTATGAGTTATATGATGACGTTTTATGATGATTATGATGTGTTGATGATGACGATGAATGCTAAAATGATGATCATAGTTTAGCTTTTTTCTTCACTCATTTTTTTTTTTATTATTTATATCTAAACATCACTATTTATTGTAATTAAATTCGAAAAGGTGAAAGATCGAAAAAGAAGTTCATATAATTTTATGATATATAACCAACCAAAACATGGTAGTAGTAGATGTTATTCATGGTAGTAGTACATGGACCAGAACTTGAGTTTAGCACCTTAGACCACTCGGCCATCGTGACTACATATTAATAGATCCCACATTGGTTGAAGAGGGGAATGAATCATTCCTTATAAGGATGTAGAAACCTCTCCTTAATAGACTCGTTTTAAAACTGTGAGGTTGATGATAATATTTTAAAATCGTGAGACTGATGGTGATATGTAATGCACCAAAATAGACAATATCTGCTAGCGGTGGGTTTGAGATGTTACAAATGGTATTAGAGCTAGTCACCAGGCGGTGTGCTAGCGAAGATGGAGGGCCTACAAGGGAGTGGGTTGTGAGATTCCAGATCGGTTGGAGAGAAGATGAAACATTTCTTATAAGGGTATGGAAACCTCTCCCTAGTAGACTTCCAGCAAGGACACTGGAAAACCTCTCTAGAGTAGATGTGTTTTAAAACCGTGAGGGTGACGACGATACGTAATGAGTCAAAGTAGACAAAATCTACTAGTGGTGGGCTCGGACAATTTTAAATGACGATAATAAAGTTTTCCTTCCACGTGTGTTGCATTTTCTACTAGTTGAAATAAGATGTAAAAGATCAACCATAAGACTTATAATAAGACTTATATTTGGCTTTACCCCCAACAGGGGTTCATGAAGATCTTTCAAATAATCTTCAATTTTCATCTTTCATAAACCAAAATCAGATCCATCGAACTTCTCAATTCCAATCTTTGAACTTTCCATCTTCACAGATCGTGCTGAATTTCGCATGGCTCTGATACTAGTTAGAATCGCACGGCAACACATACTCGATCTAGATGAACACAAAGAAAAAGAAAATACAAAGAAAACTCTAGCTAAAAAATTTGCATTGATAATTTCAAGTATTTCAAGTAAAAGAGAATACAAAAAAAAAAAAACATTTTCAAAGCTCTACCTAAAGAATATATATATAGTTTAGTTTACTATATATAGCTTACCGCATATAAACCTCTACTCTATATAACTTTCTACCATATATAGCTTTACTTGATAGAGCTCTTTACTATACAAAGCTATTTATGACTCATTTAGCCTATATAGCTTTTCTATGTACAATCGTTGACTAAGCTATAAATAAGCAGTAGACTCCATAACTTAACAATCCAAACCACGAACTCACACCTACAATGACTAAACTCGACGTTGAAGCGTTTGGTTCACGGCACGAAAAAGACCACCGACGATCCCACATACACGAGAGGTAAGCTTTATACGCTTGAATAACGTCGTGTGTCATCGGAATCTAGATTTAATTTTTAGTTTTTAAGAAGCTCATAGATGTGTCGTTTTACGCATTTACAAGCCACGAGACTTCATGGAAAAGAAGCAGAGAGTCCAACAAAAAGTTAGAGAAGGAAAACGATGAGAAAGAACGTCGAAAATAGCTGCAGAGAGGAGAGAGATGAGAAACAGAAAATCGCGCTGAGTCGGTCGAAGAAGGCGAATCAGTCGGATCTAGATACGAATCTGGATCTGTGTCAGACTCAAACCCACAACCCACTGCCAATCCATTGGTTCGACCCAACACACGCTCATGACCCAATTATAATAGTCAACCCAACCCAACGTCTGCAGCCTAGCTTAGCAGCCCAACACCCACGATCCCTGGTCTGCCTATCCAACCCGCAAAGCCTACAGTACAAAACCTGACATTCCATGGCGAAGCCTAATTACCCAAGACCCACCTGCAATAGCTTAGCACCCATGTCGCGACCCAGCAATCGACGCTTGACACGCGCCTCGACCCAATTTAGCCTACACACGTGTCAGCACCTTATTGCGCCACGTGTCAACTAGCAGCAAAAAAGAACCCCTCGACTTCATAGCTCAGCTTGGTTGCACGTATTCTTTAGGCTTAAAACACTCGGTTTGACAATTCTGACACCGACCCCCAAGTTTTTAACCCTCTCGGAGCTGATTTGACCATAATTAAGATAAATAAGGCTAGTATGATGCACTATTTCATGAATTCAAGTTAAACAACATTATAAATGTGAAATGTTAATAAAATGAAATGAACTCTATAATAGGAAATGACAACCGATAACGTTTGGAGCAACTTCGAGGAACGAAAGGTAGCAAATCTAAAAGTAGAGAAATGTCAGCTAAGGCCAACCAAGTAAGTAGCCTTACTATAGGATAGGCTAGGAAATTTTTTGATGCATGATGACACGTGCCTGCACTGGCACGTGTCCTTTATGCTTTATTAATATGATGTAGGATATATGATATATGATGTTGTGTATGAGTTATATGATGATGTTTTACGATGATTATGATGTGCTGATGATGACGATGTACGCTAAAAAGATGATCATAGTTTAACTTTTTTCTTCACTCTCTTTTGCTTATTATTTATATCTAAACATCACCATTTATTGTAACTAAATTCGAAAAGGTAAAAGATTTAAGAAGTTCATTTCATTTAATGATAAACCCAACCCAACCATGGTAGTGGTAGATGTTATTCATTTTCACTAGCCATTCGCTAGTCATTTGAATTGCGCCTTAGACTATTCGAAAATCCTGACTACTTATTGATAAATCTCACATTGGTTGGAGTGGGTTGGGGAATGAACCATTCCTTATAAGGACGTGGAAACCTCTCATTAATACACGCGTTTTAAAAATGTGAGGCTGACGACGATCCAGAACAGGCAAAATGGAAGATATCTGCTAGCGATTGAAGAGGGTGAGGAAGCATTTCTTTTAAGGGTGTGGAAACATCTTCCTAGTAGATGCATTTGAAAACTGTGAGGCTAATGGTAATATGTAATGCGCCAATGTGGACAATATCTGCTAACGGTGGGCTTGAAATGTGGTATCAGAGCTAGTCACCAGGTGATGTGCCAGCGAAGACGCTGGGTCCCCAAATGGGTGGAGTGTGAGATTTCAGATCGGTTCGAGAGAAGTTGAAACATTTCTTATAAGTGTGTGGAAACCTCTCCCTAGTAGACTGCCATCGAGAACGCTGGGAAACCTCTCCATAGTAGATGCGTATTAAAACTGTGAGGCTGACGGCGATACGTAACGAGCCAAAACCGACAATATCTACTAGTGCTGGGCTCGGACAATTTTAAATAATTGGCTGGAATAGCTCAGTTGGTTAGAGCATGTGGCTGTTAACCACAAGGTTTGGAGGTTCAAACCTCCTTCTAGCGATGGTAATCAAATGCTCTTTATAAGAGTCTCGATATCAACCCTAAGACTTGTCGATCCTTGAACTTTCACTGCTTCATGGTCATGGTATTCGGCTTTACAACACAATTTTTTCTTCTCCTTCTAGCAATGGTAATCAAGTGCTCCTTATAAGAGTCTCGAAAATATTATTGTCTTACATTTTCTATTGAATCATAACCCTTGAATTGTGTTATAATTTTTTCTTCTCCTTGATGATGTTAAACGTCACGTTCCTGGATAGCGTCAACTAGATCAACCCTAAGACTTGTCGATCCTTGAACTTCCACTACTTCATGGTCATGGTATCCGGCTTTACAACACAATTTTTTCTTCTCCTTGATGATGTTGAACGCCACATTCCTGGATAGCGTCAATTGGATCAACCCTAAGACTTGTCGATCCTTGAGCTTCCACTGCTTCATGGTCATGGTATCTGACAAAGATCTTTCTAGGAAAGATATTCTTCAATCTCCATCTTCCATAAACTGAAATCGAATCCATCGAACGTCTCAATTCCAACCTTTGAACTTTCCATCTTCACAGATCGTGTTGAATTTTGCCTAACTTGGTACCAATTGTTAGAATCACACAACAACTTACAGACTCAATCTAGTTGAACCCAAAGAACAAGAGAAAGAAAATGTCTTGAGCTTCCACTACTTCATGGTCATAGTATTATGTTTTACCCCCAACAGGGGTTTGTAAAGATCTTTCTGGTAAAGATAATCTTCAATCTCCATCTTCCATAAACCAATAACTGAACCATCGTACTTCTCAATTCCAATCTTTGAGCTTTCCATCTTCACAGATCGTGGTGAATTTCGCCTATCTCTGATACTAGTTGTTAGGATCGCACAACAACACACACACTCGTTAAGAAAATGCAAGAAGAACTCTGGCTAAAGAATTTGCATTGATTTAATAATTTCAAGTATTTCCAGTAAGAGAAACAGTAGTGAGTGAGTATTTCTAGTAGGAGAGAAACAATGAGTGAGTAGGAGAGAAACAGTAGTGAGTGAGTATTTCTAGTAGGAGAGAAACAGTAGTAAGTGAGTATTTCAAGTAGGAGAGAAACAGAAACAGTAGTAAAATAGTAGGAGAGACAGTAAGTGACAAGTAGGAGAGAAAAAGTAGTAAGTGTAGTAAGTGACAAGTAAGAGAGAAACAGTAGTAAGTGTAGTAAGTGACAAGTAGGAGAGAAACAATGAGTATTTCCAGTAGGAGAGAAATAGTGAGTGAGTAGGAGAGAAACAGTAGTGAGTGAGTATGAGAGAACAGTAGTAGTAAGTGAGTATTTCAAGTAGGAGAGAAACAGAAACAGTAGTAAGTGAGTATTTCAAGTAGGAGAGAAACAGAAACAGTAGTAAAACAGTAAGAGAGACCGTAAGTGACAAGTAGGAGAGAAACAATAGTGAGTGAGTATTTTCAATAGGAGAGAAACAGTAATGAGTGAGTGATTCCAGTAGGAGAGAAACAATAGTGAGTGAGTGATTCCAATAGGAGAGAAACAGGAGTGAGTGAATGAGTATTTCCAGTAGGAGAGAAACAGTAGTGAGTGAGTGAGTATTTCCAGTAGGAGAGATTCCAGTATTTCCAATAGGAGAGATTCCAGTAGTGAGTGAGAGATTCCAGTATTTCCAGTAGTGAGTGAGAGATTCCAGTAATTCCAGTAGTGGGTGAGAGATTCTGGTATTTCCAATAGTAGGTGAAAGGGGAGAGATTCCAGTATTTCTAGTAGTGGGTGAGAGATTCAGGTGAGAGATTCCAGTATTTCCAGTAGTGGGTGAGAGATTCTAGTATTTCCGGTAATTAGTGAGAGATTCCAGTATTTCCAGTAGTGATTGAGAGGTGAGAGATTCTAGTATTTCCAATAGTGAGTGAGAGGTGAGAGATTCAGTATGATTCCAATAGTGGGTGAGTGATTCTAGTAGTGGGTGAGAGATTCCAGTATTTTCAGTAGTGGGTGAGAGATTCCAGTATTTGTATTTCCAGTATTTGTATTTTCAGTGGTGGGTGAGAGATTCCAATATTTGTATTTCCAGTAGTGGGTGAGAGATTTCAGTATTTGTATTTCTAGTGGTGGGTGAGGGATTCCAGTATTCCTTTCCAGTAGTAGATGAGAGATTCCAGTATTTGTATTTCCAGTGGTGGGTGAGAGATTCCAGTATTATTTTTATTTCTAGTAGTGGGCGAGAGATTCCAGTATTCCAGTATTTGTATTTCCAGTGGTGGGTGAGAGATTCTAGTATTTCTTTCCAGTAGTGGGTGAGAGATTCCAGTATTTGTATTTCCAGTAGTGGGTGAGAGATTCCAGTATTTGTATTTCCAGTAGGGTGAGAGATTCCAGTATTTGTATTTCTAGTGGTGGGTGAGAGATTCCAGTATTCCTTTCCAGTAGTAGGTGAGAGATTCCAGTATTTGTAGTTCCAGTGGTGGGTGAGAGATTCTAGTATTCGTTTCCAGTAGTGGGTGAGAGATTCCAGTATTTGTATTTCCAGTAGTGGGTGAGAGATTCCCGTATTTGTATTTCCAGTAGGGTGAGAGATTCCAATATTCCTTTCTAGTAGTAGGTGAGAGATTCCAGTATTTGTATTTCTAGTGGTGGGTGAGAGATTCCAGTATTATTTTTATTTCTATTGGTGGGTGAGAGATTCGAGTATTCCTTTCCAGTAATGGGTGAGAGATTACAGTATTTGTATTTCCAGTAGTGGGTGAGAGATTCTAGTATTTGTATTTCCAGATTCCAGTATTTGTATTTCCATTAGTGGGTGAGAGAGGTGAGAGATTCCAGTATTTGTATTTACAGTGGTGGGTGAGAGATTACAGTATTTATATTTCCAGTAGTGGGTTCTAGTGATGGGTGAGAGATTCCAGTATTTGTATTTTATTTATATTTCCAGTGGTGGGTTCCGGTGATGGGTGAGAGATTCCAGTATTTGTATTTTATTTATATTTCCAGTGGTGGGTTCCAGTGATGGGTGAAAGATTCTAGTATTTGTATTTCTAGTAGTGGATGACAGATTCCAGTATTTGTATTTCGAGTGGTGGGTGAGAGATTCCAGTATTTGTATTTCCAGTGGTGGGTGAGAGATTCTGGGTGAGAGATTCTAGTACTATTTGTATTTTTAGTAGTGGGTGAGAGATTCTAGTATTTGTATTTCCAGTAGTGGGGGAGAGATTCCAGTATTTGTATTTCCAGATTCCAGTATTTGTATTTCTATTAGTGAGTGAGAGAGGTGAGAGATTCCAGTATTTGTATTTACAGTGGTGGGGGAGAGATTACAGTATTTGTATTTCCAGTAGTGGGTTCCAGTGATGGGTGAGAGATTCTAGTATTTGTATTTTTGTGGGTGAGAGATTCCAGTATTTGTATTTCCAGTAGTGGGTTCTAATGGTGGGTGAGAGATCCCAGTATTTGTATTTCCAGTATTGGGTGAGAGATTCTAGTATTTGTATTTTCGGTGGTGGGTGAGAGATTCCAGTATTATTTGTATTTTCAGTAGTGGGTGAGAGATTCCAGTATTTGTATTTCTCGTGGTGTGTGAGAGATTTCCAGTATTTGTATTTCGTGGTGGGTGAGAGATTCCAGTATTTGTATTTCGTGGTGTATGAGAGAAGTTGAAACATTTCTTATAAGTGTGTGGAACCTCTCCCTAGTAGACTGCCATCGAGAACATTGGGAAACCTCTACATAGTATATGCGGTTTAAAACTGTGAGGCTGACGATGATACTTAACAAGCCAAAGCAAACAACATCTACTAGTGCTAGGCTCGGACAATTTTAAATAACTAGCTAGAATAGCTTAGTTGATTAGAGCGTGTGACTGTTAACCACAAGGTCAGAGGTTTAAAGCCTCCTTTATAGTTTTTATATGTTTGAATAACGCGTCGTGTGTCCTCGAAAGAGGAGGAAAGCGATGAGAAAGATGAAAACCAAATATCATTGAGTTGGGCGAATAAGACGACGAATCCAGCAAAACCAATCCATTGGTTCAGTCCAACACACGCTCACGACCCAATTATAATAGTCAACCCAACCCAACGTTTTCTGCCCAGCACCCGCGATCCCACATCTGCCCATCCAACCCGCAACGCCTGCACCCCAAAACCTGATAGTCCATGGCAGAAGCCCAATTACCTAAGACCCATCTACAACAGCCCAGCATCCATGCCGCGACCTAGTAATCGTCCCTTGACCCGCGCCTCGACACAATTTAGCCTGCACAAGGGTCAGCGCCTGCAAAAAGAACCCCTCGACTTCATAGCTCAGCATGGTTGGTCCTTAGCCTTAAAAGGCTCGGAGCTGATTTGACCATAATTATTAAGATAAATAAGACCAATATGATACACATGAAATGAAATGTGTCAGAAGTAAAATTTGAACTCACGCCCTCTTACGAGGACCAAAACTTAGGTCTAGCACCTTAGACCACTTGGCCATCCTGACTACTTGTTAATAAATCCTACATTGGTTGAAGAGGGGAATGAACCATTCCTTATAAGAGTGTGGAAACCTCTCCCTCATAGACGCATTTTAAAACTGTGAGGCTGATGACGATCCATAACAAGTCAAAATGGAAGATAGCTGCTAGCGGTTGGAGAGGGTAAGGAAGCATTTCTTTTAAGGGTGTAGAAAAATATTCCTAGTAGACGCATTTTAAAATCGTGAGGCTGATGGTCATACGTAATGCACCAAAGTGGACAATATCTGCTAATAATGGTCTTGAGCTGTTACAAATGGTATCAGAGCTAGTCACCAAGCAGTGTGTTAGCAAAGACATTGGCCACCAAGGGAGTGAATTGTGAGATCTCACATCGGTTGGAGAGAAGATGATACATTTCTTATAAGAATGTGGAAACCTCTCTCTAGTAGACTGCCAGCAAAGACGCTGGAAAACCTTTCCATAGTAGATGCATTTTTAAAATCGTGAACCTGACGGCTATACGTAATGAGTCAAAGCAGACAACATCTATTAGAGGTGGGCTCAAAAAGCTATTAATAATTAGCTAGAATAGCTAAGGACGGTGTCCTTTTTATGCTTTATGATTATGATATGTATGAGTAATCCCCTTGGGTATCGAGGAAGCAAGGTTACGAGAGCCACTGCACTAACAAATACCAATAACAAATACCAAGGATGTCGGATCATTAGTATTGCCTTGTTCTCTTGTCCATTGGTCATGTCTGATTATTGATTTTTTTAGGCTTTATCTTTAAGCAAGTGTTTGGTTCTCTCTTTTTTACTTCAAAATGGTCTCTTTTGCACGTCCTTAGCCACAAAAGAGAGCCCAGCAAACCTCTCTCTTCACACTTATCTAAATACAATAAACCAACACTAACAAAACCCCATTTTTATGGCTTCTTCCCCAGAAGGGTCATTTCCCATCCTTTCTTCAACCCCTTCAAGAAAACACAACCATATAGCCTTCCTAACCTAACCGTCCAGGTCAATCACTCACAAATTTATTGGAATAGTCTAAGCCCACCACTAATAGATATTATCTGTATTAGTCCGTTATGTATCATTGTCAGCTTCCAAATTTTAATACGCGCCTAGTAGGGAGAGATTTTCACACCCTTACAAGGAATGTTTCGTTCCCTTCTCCAACTGATGTGGGATCTCACAATCCACCCCATTCAGGGCCTAGCGTTCTCATGTATTTTCCTCTCCAACCAATGTGGTGTCTCACAATCCATCTCATTGGACGCTGGCACTCATTGTCCTCTCCAATCGATATAGGATCTCACAATTCACCCAACATGAGATCATACCGTCAAGGCAAATATCTACTAGCGGTGAACTTAGGCGGTTACATAAACTTTTTGTCTTATATCTCATAGGTCCTTTTATGTCGCTGAATTTTTTATTTTGAGTCAATTTTGAGTTTTTTAAGTCATTCAATGATCATAGGCCATTGAATTTTCAATTTTGGGTTTGATATATCATGACTGCATCTTTTAAAATAATTCATACATATTAGATCCAAAATATCTATTAGATCAATTTTTTTTTTTAAGAAAATTAAATATGTGAAAGAGCGGTTGGACACAAACCCAAAATATCTATTAGATCAATTTTTTTTTTAGTCATTTTAAAATCTTGAGAGGAAACTCAAGAAAATCTTAAATATGACAATATTTGCTAGAAGTGAACTTGAACGGTTACATTTACCTCCCGATCCCTCCCGTATGGTGTAGTAGGTTGAAGTGCAAATAGAATTGGTCATAACCTAAAGCATTCATCATACCACTCCATCCCCAGATGCCTTTGTTTCTTAGAAAAAATAAATAAATAAATAAAAACAGATCTATATTCTTATATGAATGTATTCTTTTGTTTCTTGCCCAAAATACAGAAGAAAGAGAAATTTGTCTGTGAAAGTTCAATCATATACCGTCATAGTGACAGGTTCGGTCAACCAATCTTCAAGACTACAAACATATATCTATGTACTTATGTATATATAGAGATCACGTATTCATTGCATATATGTAATGTTAATTTAATTCATACGCATAATGTCCCACTTCACAACTCATATTGATTCCAGTGAATAGAACTGAAATGCAATAATAATGGAAAGGAAACTCTTTATGGTTCAATCCTGTGAAGGAGTGGGAATCTACACCAATGACTTTTGATCGAGATTAAAATATCTAAATCAATTGAGCTATGTTGAAGAAACTCTTTATATCCGAATCTTTACCTTCTTCTCTGAATTTCCATAACCAAAAAATGGCACAACATACTTAATTCTTAGAGAATCCTGAAGCATAATCCTGTCATGTTAGAGTCATAGAAACTATCCAGAATGCCAGATAAATTCTGTAGGCAATTTTTTCTGGTGAAGATACACAATTTTAGGAAAAGCTCTTTCATGCTAGGAGATTCAGAGTTGTTACCTCTCCAGGGATCTGATAATCAGTTTATTGGATCATAGTTAGGCAAGGCAGTCGATCGAAGATTATGAGTATTGCAAAGCATACAATCTAATACGAGAGTGTAGGGAGAGAATTTAAACCTCTAACCTTTTGGTTGGGGACATACTCAAGAACAAGATTAATCGCTTTGTAGAAGGCTACCAGTCAGGTTAAGATACTATTGAGGTTTAAATCAAATATAGACAACTAAGAGTAACATCTAGATGTATAACTTAAAATGTTGCGGCAGCAAGATAGCAGTTAATCCACCTGTACTTATTACAGTATGCAGATATTCCGTTAAAAGGTGTACATTTCCAAAGAGCCTATAGAATCATGTTAAGGCTTTATTCAAAGCATCAAAAACACTTTGCAAGCTTACCTCCTCCACGATCACAACCTTGTCTCTTGATTTAGAGCCAGAACCTATAGATAATTGTCTTCTTTTGACACCTAAAACCTGCAATAAATATAAAAGGAGTTAAGGAAGCATCGTTCGTGTAACAGCCCAAGCCCACCACTATTAGATATGTCTGCTTTGGCCAGTTATATATCACAGTCAACCTCACGGTTTTAAAACGCGCCTGCTAAGAAGAGGTTTCCACACTCTTATAAAAAATGTTTTGTTCCCCTCTCTAACCGATGTGGGATCTCACAATCCACCCTCCTTGGGGCCCAGCGTCCTCGCTGGCACACTGCCCAATGTTTGCCTCTGATACCATTTGTAATAGCCCAAGCCCACCGCTAGCATATATTGTCCGGTTTGGTCCATTACGTATCACCGTCAGCCTCACGGTTTTAAAATGTGTCTATTAAGGAGAGGTTTCCACACCCTTATAAGGAATGCTTCGTTCCCCTCTCCAACTGATGTGGGATCTCATCGTTCCCCTCTACAATTGATGTGAGATCTCATGGTTTGTATGATTCATGCAAAGGAGATCTTCACTTCAATATTTGGAGTACCAAGCTTCACGAGGAAGGAGAAGAAGAGAGAAAGGAACTTCAAGGCAACATGAAAACACCAAATCTGAAAGCTCTAATTTAGGTGCTATTTAGTCCTTTTACATAGCTCTAAGACCAAAGAGTGCAGCCAAGTGTGTTTTGGCCCATCTGAGAAACTCCCATTTTACTTGTAACCAAACACCATTCAAATTAGTTCTTTAGTTGGCAAATCACATGCGGCAGTTTAAGGCCTTAAGTTTTAAATTTTGAGATGCTAGACATTTTGATGAAATAAAATGAGAGTTTCCCTTTTTTCCTCCAAGCCAAGAGCATTTGCATCCTAGCTTGTTTGTTTGGATTGAGAATAGTTTTCTCTATTCAAAGCCTTGACCATCAAGGTTAGTCCGTTTCTTATTTCTCTTGGGTGAACCCTTGTATGTGTAATAAGTGTTACTGTGTGTGTGTTCAGGAGTTGCTAGTTTTAATGTGAACGGCCTAAGTCACATATAGTAGGGTTGAGTGAATCATTTGGTTTCATAGCTTCCTATGCCAATGATTTTATATCATTTTTACCAAAAAGAAAGGAAGAGCACATTAACTCTCTCACAGCTAACTTCACGGTGGAGGGAAAGATTAAAGACTGTCTAAATAGAAGACCCAAGTAGCAATCAAGCAAAAAATAAAAAATAGAACTGTTATGAGCTGTGTGAAAACTTGACAAATGAGAGATGCTTCAATGCAGCTGCAGTAGTTGTAAAGAAATACGCAGGTCCTTTACCAAGGAGCAACGACAAGTTTCCCATGAAATACAACCAAGTGCTTATAAACATGAATTCATTTCAATTAAACAAGTTATGGATAATTCGAATGGAGAAATGACGTAGGAAGCTTGTAATATGTAACAGCCCAAGCTCAAGCCATTGTCCTCCTTGGGCTTTCCCTTTCGGACTTTCCCTCAAGGTTTTTAAAACGCGTCTGCTAAGGAGAGTTTTCAACCCTCTTATATAGAATGTTTTGTTCCCTTCTCCAACCGTTGTGGGATCTCACAATCCACCCCCTTTGGGGCCCAATGTCTTCATTGGCACTCGATCATCTCTCCAATCGATGTGGGATCTCACAATCCACCTTCCTTCGGGGCCCAACATCTTCGCTGGCACACTACCCGGTGTCCACCTCCCTTCAAGGGTCAGTGCCCTCGCTGGCACACCACTTGATGTCTGACTCTGATACTATTTGTAACAGCCCAAACCCAACGTTAGCAGATATTGTCATCTTTGGGTTTTCCCTTTCAGACTTCCCCTCAAGGTTTTTAAAATAGTCAAGGAGAGGTTTCCACACCCTTATAAAGAATGATTTGTTCCCCTCTTCAACCAATGTGAGATCTCACAATCCACTCCTTCGGAACCCAGCGTCCTCGTTGGCATTCGTTCAATCGATGTGGGATCTCACATAATAACGCCAGGAAACTGAAAGCTAGTGTTGGTAATTCATCCAACTTTTCTGATTTGGGAATCGTATAGCTACTACTGTCAACATGTATGAAGATTTAAACAACGGAAGATCGAAAATACTACACAGTAAGTAGATAGAAGACTTCAAATCCTTCGAGCAACAGGAATAACAGCCTTCAAATTCAAATGGGTGAATCCAACACCGGATTTTCAACAAACTAAGAACAGCAAAATTATCCGTTCGCTAGACCAATACACTCAAAACAATTCCAATTTTCGGAATCTTCACCAAAAATCCCAAACAACAAAACAATCAATTTCAACTTTAAGCCAAATGGTTAAATGGCGCAATGAAAATTCAAGTTCTAGGAATGAAAAAGCAATTCGAAATCAAATAATAAGCAGCAAAGAATGCCCAACTCACAGAGCTCATGTAATCAAGAAGTGCAGCATTAGCTTCTCCATCTTTCGCAGGTGCGTCGATTTGCACTCCCAACGCATCATCGCCAAAGTCTGCAAGGATTTCGAGAAACACAATACTATTTCAATTTCATAAACGGAAAAGAGTTAGACCGAAAGAGAGAGAGAGAGAGAAAGACCTGTGATAGAGGCGATCTTGGAGCCAGGCTTTGCGTGGATGGTAATGGCGATGGAAGAAGAAGAAACAGAGCGAAGACAAGAAGGGTAATTGTTGGGTTTGAGGGAGGATTGAATTGATTCAGTAGCTTTCGGAGCTTTCGTTTTCCCCTTCTTCGCCGGAGCCATTTTCTTCTCCCTTTAATTTTTAATATTTTCCTCCAAAAATCAATCGGAGTTCTGCGAGCGGTCGTTAGAGTTTAGACCACCCCTAACAACAAAAATCTCTCTCTCTCTCTCTCTCTATATATATATTCTTTTTTTTTTTCTTTCTTTTTTCTTGAGTTTAAAAAATATTTTTAGAACATTAAGATATTTGGTTGTGAGATGTTAAAATGAATTGATTTACTAACATAAATCTACTAAGAGAGCCGTGAGAAAATGTATTCTGCTGGGCCGACACTGACACTAAGAGACGAAAGCCAGGGGAGCGAATAGGATTAGATACCCCAGTAGTCCTAGCCGTAAACGATGGATACTAGGCACTGTGCGTATCGACCCGTGTAGTGCTGTAGCTAGCGCGTTAAGTATCCTGCCTGGAGAGTACGTTCGCAAGAATGAAACTCAAAGGAATTGACGGGGGCCCGCACAAGTGGTGAAGCATGTGGTTTAATTCGATGCAAAGCGAAGAACCTTACCAGGGCTTGACATGCCGCGAATCCTCTTGAAAGAGAGGGGTGCCTTCGGGAACGCGGACACAGGTGGTGCATGGCTGTCGTCAGCTCGTGCTGTAAGGTGTAGGGTTAAGTCCCGCAATGAACGCAACCCTCGTATTTAGTTGCCAACCGTTGAGGTTGGAACCCTAAGCAGACTGCCGGTGATAAGCCGGAGGAAGGTGAGGATGACGTCAAGTAATCATGCCGATTGATTCTAAATAACACAAATGAAATGATAGTTCTAATATTAGTATGAATTTTTAGCTAATTTAAATTATTTTGTACAAAATTAGGTGAACTAATTTACATAGAAGAATTCTAAGTTATAATTGTGATTAGCGTTAAGCTAGTATCAAGAGTGTAGTAATCATGTAAACGGCTCTACTATCTGTTATGTATGATGACGTGTGTCACATGTCCCCTGCACGTGTCATATGTATGAATGATATGTTATGTTATCTATTATAAATTATGTCGTATTTAAAAGTTATGTTATGATGTTATCATGTCATGTTGTGTAAAATTGTTATGAAATCGATGATCTACAATGCATAGACCTTCATAAACCAGGTCATGAAATATATGAAAGAATGTATAGGAATTAAGCCCATATTTAGGTTCCACCATGTTGCATGTGCTTACATTTTCCGACTCTAATGGTGGGGTTACCTACTGTAGTATTTTTTAGCTCTTACATTTCAGGTAAAGGTAAACACTCTTGTATAGATGACGACGATGTCGCAATGAAGGTCATAAAACTAGTGTTGAACAGTTGCATTTTGTCTATTTCATAGTCTTAGGTTAGATTATGAGTTATTTTATTTTCTTTATGTAATAACAAACGTTACATTATTTATTTTTGTGTTGTCTTAAAGATTTTACTTCGAACATTTAAGTTCATGATATTGTTTAGAAACTATTTTAATGGAATGTTTTTCAAAAATACACGGGAACCTATAATAATATTTTGAAAATACTGTTAAACTTTACAAAGTGAACGAGAAGAAAGAGCCCAGATTTTATTAATTTCTTAGTAAATGTAATACGACACACCGAGACGAGGTTGGGAATGTTGGATGATGAAAGTCCCACATCAGTTAATTTAGGGAATGGTCATGGGTTTATAATCTAAGAATACACTCTTCATTGGTATGAGACCTTTTAGGAAGCCCAAAGCAAAGTCATGAGAGCTTATGCTCAAAGTGGACAATATCATACCAGTCGTGTTCGTCTAACATGGTATCAGAGTCATGCCCTAAACTTAGCCGTGCCAATAGATTGGCAAATCCTCGAATGTCGAACAGAGGACTCCAAAAAGGAGTTAAGCAAAGTGGATCTGGGTCATTATAGTTGGTATCAAAACCAGACACCTGATGATGTGCCAGTCTTCCCCCCACGAGGCAGTGATTCAATATCAATAATAAGTTATAATTCATTGGTTGATTGTATCAAACTCTTATTTCTTTTTGTCAGCCTCCACTAATTCGGAACTTAATTTGAAAGCCATATTTCGACCCGAACGTTTTCGGGATCCCCATAATAACCCAAGTGGATGGCAAGAATGGATGAAATACGTAAATAAATGGATTTTTGCATTTCTTTAGATAAGAACTTCGTTTTTTACTCTTTGCCGATGGTAAATATTTTTCAGAACATAGAATGTGAATCGTTTTAAATAATAATACGTAAAGATTTTTTTTAGGTCTCGAGGTTTATTATTGTTGTCGGATGAAACTTGACGAATGTCTTTTTTAAAATATTGATCGATCACAATACCTCATAACTTTATTTGACGACCTTTTTTTCGATTTTATTTTTTATTTTTTTTATTTGTATAGGCCAATTTTCAATTTCTGAAACCTTCCCGAGTAATTCCTCTATTTTCGCCTCGCTTTCATTTGAACGACTCCTTTTATGTTTTAGAATCTCCTTTAGAATTTAAAAATGAATGAAATTTTCCTACTCTAACCTACCAGCTACAACTTAATACTCGTCTCTATGGCCTCCTTAGTTGACTCCATCATCAGTATTTAAAAACGGTCTACTATTAGATCAAAAAATGCAATCACATGCAGTTATACGGTTCATAGTGGGACCTATCTTTTCTTGACTATTCCTTGGTTCTACTTTCGTTTTCAGGTAGAGTTGGATGTGTAATACTTCTTTATACATAGTTCACGCATACACACATGAACCCACTTGGCAGACTCGTATACATACACTCTAGGCCTGATTATGAGCTAGCACATGCTCATGCGGCCAGAAACCAAAAGATATGCGTCTGTACAAAACATATTGAAGAAGTATCATGTGCTTGTGACCTACAATATGCATGAAGTCTAAGATTTTCTAATCTTGGTATTCATCATACTTCAATTTTTTTCATGACATAACTTTCCTACGGTACATGTACCTGACATGATCTTTTATTATTAACATATATGGCTCATTAGTGTCTCATAGGCCTAACGTGAATACGGTACCATAACATACATGGGTTTACATGTTCGAATTACATGCATCACATAATATTCATAAATATAGCATGTCATAGCCTAAAAAAAAAACATATATATAAGACATAAAGTACAACACTTAATTCATCCAACCTAACTTGAAAGCGTTCCAACAATAAGTCCACTTGTTTGGCCTAAGCTCAAGTCACTAAATACCTTTGGTCGGTATTAGTATGCTTTGCTCCTTAAAGTCTAACTCCACCTATGAAGTCCCATCACATCATATTTAGGACATCATTAAGAAAATTAATTTACATAACTACTTTAACTCGTCTAAATTTGGCTCCAAATATTTTAAATTGGTCGAACAATGGTCATACCAACCATCAACGCCCCCACTTACACAAAAAAAAACAACTCTAAAATGGTAATACAAGGTCAAATTCTCCAATCCGAGCTAATTAAGCCAACTGAGCCGAGAGGAAGCTAGTGGAACCAAACGCAAATCGACTGTAGGGAGTGAGCTGAAATACGAACCGTAACTAGGAAAGGCAGCTGGACTGAGTTGCTTGCGCTGAGTCTGCTCAAGTCACAGATGGATCAATGCGTGGGTCGTAGATCGAGCACAAGTTGCTAGTAGGCTGACATGTTGGGTTGGGATGGGTTGTCATATGAGTTTTGGGCGTCCGAGCCTAGCATGGTTCAGTCTCGAGCCTGCGATTTAGATGGTTCGCCTACTTAGGCTGAGGTTCAAACTTAAGTTCGGCTTTTGAGCCTGAGGATTGGAAATAAGGCTAACTTTTGACTTGATTTCTCTTTCGGGATGGAATTTCCTAGAACATATAAATATTAACATGAATTTTTCTTTGTTTTTGAATAAAAAATTGGACTGATCAGATAAGTTTAAAAGACGTTTGAGACGTAGGTTAGAGACCTAGGTAAGAGTGGTTGGTAACTCCCTTGTTCTTTGGTTCAATTAAGTTTTCCATATTTAGATCATAACATTGAATTGATCCTTCTTGTTTAGAATCCTTTTGGGCTATTGAGTTCGTTTGTTTTGTGGCTAACATTCTATGTGCCTTGCATGCTAAGTTGCTGAGATGTTTGTGGTGAATTTGTGATAGCTAGTTATGTTGTGCATTGAGTTTGGCTACAAAAGCATGATGTGGGTTATTCCTGGTACAAATAGTGGAGGGGTGCTATTGGAAAAGAGAGCATAGATGTAACAATCTAAGTCCACCGCTTGTTGATATTATCCGCTTTTGGTCCGTTACGTATCGTCTTAAGACACGTCTATTAAGGAGATGTTTCTATACCTCTGATTGATATTGTCCGTGTTTTGCCCGTTACGTACCGCTATCAGCCTCACAGTTTAAAATGTGTGTACAATGGAGAGGTTTCACTCATTTATAAAGAATGATTTGTTTCTATTTTCAACAAAGGTGGGATTCTCACCATGCTCTAATACCATTTGTAATGACTCAAGCCCACTGTCTATGTTTGCTTTGGCTCGTTATGTATGACCGTCAACTTCACAGTTTTAAAACACATAGAGATTTCCATAACCTTATAAGAAATACTTTGTTCTCCTCTCCAACCAATGTGCAATCTTACCATAGAGGTCTTGGATACAAACAAAGTTAATGTGATGAGTTTATGAAGCATGGAAATGGTTAATACGTGACCAAGCCATTGGTGCACCTTAGCACAAAAGGACAAGAACTGATGCAACGATTCGAGACCTTGGATACAAATGGGCAAGATCAAACCTTGAACATTATAGAAAAGGTTGAACCCCTAGTTCGTATGGTTAGAAGTCGATGCGACTTGAAGGAGTCCGTATTGGACGATTGTGAGGCCTAAATTGATGAGCCTATGAAGAAGGTATTGCAAGGCCTAGTACATTGCAAGTCATTGAGGCCTTGGGTAAAAATTTTCAAGGAGCCAACATCAAGAACCATAAAGAACTGTTGAGGTCTTTAAGTAAAAATAGTCATGGGGTGACACAACTTGAAGGATCCATCTTAGAGAGCTTTATGAAGGCTAAATATTAGTGCCAAGAAAACTTAGTGGAATTAGTGATAGCTGGTTAAGCTTGAGTAGAAATTGAATGTGCATGTCATGAGTGTGCTACGTGATGACGATATGTAACGAGTCAAAATGGATAATATCTGTTAGCAGTGGACTTGAACTGTTACAAGACTATTTATTTTTTGATTGCATCTTTGTCGAAGTTATTTTGAGGATATGCTTTTGTGGGATGGTTGCTTCCACCGATCTCTCCTTAAGACACACAAAGTTTGATTGTATTTGTCACGGCAAAAGGTCGAGAAAATGACCTAGTGAGCTGGTAATCTTTCATGTCTATGCTGTTAGATTATGCCCTCCCCAAATGATTTTACATTGTTGGTCAATCATATGTGTTGTTTTGTTGATCTTTGTGGCTTCGAGCTTCCATTGAGCCAATTCATGTCATTTTAGTGCAGCCAATTACATGCGGTTCAAGGTCGAGAAAGTAACGTGATGTGTTATTATCTATCATGACTGGGTTGTTTACATTTTCTTCTAACTTGTGTAGCTGTGATTTGTTTGCCTAAACTTAAATATTTATTATAACTTTTATCTATCTCTATCCTCACTGATTGATTAAAAAAATCCCAACTATGACATAATTTTTCGTTTATGCACGTGAGTAGGACAAAACATGCTAAAAAACCTTCCGTTGGTTTGTGGGGATAGTGCATGAATAATCTTCACTCTTAAGAAACATCCACTTTGAGCATAAGCTCTCATGGCTTTGCTTTGGGCTTCTCAAAAGGCCTCATACCAATGGAGTTAGTATTCCTCACTTATAAACTCATGATCATTCTCTAAATTAGCCGATGAATAATCTTCACTCTTAAGAGACGAGGAGTAGGTTGTTAGACGAACACGACTCTCCACAATGGTATGATATTGTCCACTTTGAGCATAAGCTCTCATGGCTTTGCTTTGGGCTTCCCAAAAGGCCTCATACCAATGGAGTTAGTATTCCTCACTTATAAAGTCATGATCATTCTCTAAATTAGCCGATGAATAATCTTCACTCTTAAGAAACGAGGAGTAGGTTGTTAGACGAACACGGCTCTCCACAATGGTATGATATTGTCCACTTTGAGCATAAGCTCTCATGGCTTTGCTTTGGGCTTCCCAAAAGGCCTCATACCAATGGAGTTAGTATTCCTCACTTATAAACCCATGATCATTCTCTAAATTAACCGATGTGGGACTTTCATCATCCAACATAGGTAACGTGATCTTGTTGCAAGAGATGTAGGAAAATATCGTGGTCAATAGGTGCCGAATTCATATTCTGAATTCTCATACGAATTTTGAATATGGGTCGTTACATAAAAGTCATATTTATTAATTATGGAAAAAAAAGATGTTAATGTGGTCCAAAGAAGGCAAATAAAATAAGCCAATCCACTCAAGCTTGAAGGTTATGTAGAGATGAAGTTGTAAATAAAATATATGGCTGAATCCTTATCCTATTTGGTACCATTATCCATTTGTATCTATTCTAAAATTAAAATATTAGTTTAATCCATAGGATTATCCTGTTTTAGCGTTTTAAATCATATTTAATGTTCTTTAAAGACAAACAAAAGGGGTTAAGTTTTAAAAATAATTTCACTCAAATCTCTTACTTTCTAGCCAAGCTTGTTACACATTTTGACTACAAAATGAGTATAGATGCTAGTCACCTAGAATATATATATATATATATATATATATATATATTTTACGGTAGAAATTAAATTATCGACTTTTGTGATGGTGATTGGTATCTTATCTATACTCAGACGGAACAGTATTGTGAGAGTTCTATATTGGTTGAGGAGGAGAACGAAACACTCTTTATATGGGTGTGGAAACCTTCCCTTAATGCGATTTAAAGTCTTGTGAGAGTTCTATATTGGTTGGGGAGGAGAACGAAACACTCTTTATATGGGTGTGGAAACCTTCCCTTAACGCGATTTAAAGTCTTGTGAGAGTTCTATATTCGTTGGGGAGGAGAACGAAACACTCTTTATATGGGTGTGGAAACCTTCCCTTAACGCGATTTAAAGCCTTGAGGGAAAACTTAAAGAAGATAATATATGCTAGCGGTGAACTTGGGCTTGGACTATTACACAAATATAGAGTTTATCTCGAATAATGTAAAGAAAATGAGTAATCTAATTCAGCCCAGCTCAATTGGGGTTTTCAATCTTGGCATATAAAGGGCAAAATTCTAAGAGTTTTTGTAACAACTCGACTATCTGTGCACGTGTTGATCATGATTACTATGTAAAAACAAGACTTCAGAAAAATGTGGCTTAAAAACCATAAAAACGTGCTTGTGATACCTCTTTTAAAAGAATTTAAGATTTAAGATTTAAAGTTTGAGGTGCCTGTTGATCATGACTGCTATGTAAAAACAAAATGTTGCTTAAAAACCATAAAAACGTGCTTGAGACACCTCTTTTATGACCCGATTTTCACAAGCGAATTATTAAAAACTTAAAAGATATAAGAGACAAAGTAAAATACGATACTAAATTTTTTGCGTTTAAAACAAAACATAGATACATTTATTTACAATATATAATTAAAGTTTGAATATACTGGACTCGGTAAACAAAACAACTTAAAATAGTTGAAATACGGTGTGACTCTTTATGGTACATGCTTCAAATCCGCATCCATCCTCGACCATCTCCTTCTTGGCACCCGAAGAAAAAAAATATGAAGAAACTTGAATGAGTACAATAACTCAATCAGACCATTAAAGACTTTCATGGAAAAGTTATTACTTTGTTTCAAAAATCCTCTTGAACTTTCATCATTGTTTCAAAAATACTATTAGAATTTTAATAGGCCAAAACGGTTAAAACAAACAATATCTACTGTTACAAATGGTATCTTTATAAGGGTGAAAACCGTGAAGCTAACGACAATATATAACGAACCAAAGCGGACAATATTTACTAGCGGTGGGCTTGAATGGTAACATATGAACTAAACATATAATTTATCTGTATTTTTATTAAGAAAATAGCACATTTGTTTTAAATTTATTTTATGGAACTTTATGGTAAACTTAAAAATTAAAAAATAGTAGTACATAGAAGTACCAAATTGAATTATAATATAAAGTTTAAAGTGTTACCAAAGATCTTATAAATCTTGCTTTAAATATTATCCACATCAATATTTTTCTTTACACAATCTTCCTTGATTGCAATCCCCTTACTTTGCATTCATTCAATTCAAAAAGATATCTTCTCTTTTCATTTTTATTTTAATATGATTCTTTTCCAATTAAATTATTACTTCCTTTTCCGCGTATACCGAGCAAATTTGACACTCAAATCAACCGATTGAATGTAATACAAATTGAGTTGGGAATTGATCGGGTTGGTGACATGAGAACTTAAATATAGGTCATTACCCAATTCAACCCAACTCCATATTTTTCAGTTGGGTTCGGTTGGGTTGTTTTTTTAACTCGTTAAAAAAAATCATATTTATCCACTGTACATATTATATTAATAACTAAAATCTCATAAACCTAAATATCAAAGGTTCATAAGATACCATGCATCATTAACATCAGTTACAAACATCAAATATTCTTAATATCCATAAGAATTTAAAAAAGTAGGGTTGGGTTAGGTTGAGTTGGATTATAACTCTAAACAACTTTAATGTGTGAACGAGCTTAAATTTGTTCAGTTTTCCAAAAATTTAACCCAACCCAAATTCGAAAAAAAGAAAAACTAACATAACTCAAGGTTTGAATTGAATGATCCTCATTGGTTGAGTTCTCGAGTCCTATGAACACGTTGAAGGTGGATAATAAAAGATTATTTATTAAAAAACCAAATCTAATCCCAACATCAAAATATGAACAAATAAATAAAAAAGTTACAAAATCCATTACCTATAAAAATAGTTTTTTTAAAAAAAAAAATTATAGAAATTTTATGGTTCAACAACATTTAATCTAATATATTCATAAAAAATAAAAATAAAAATCAGTAAATAAAATAATAAGGAAAGGTATAGATATTAATTATTA